ATCACTGTGCCTCCACTCCCCCACTTCCTCTTAGCTGCCCTTTGAGACACCTCACAAATGTCCTTTTCCCTGGGGAGGCTCTCTAGATGGGTCTCCGGTAGCACTGGGGGTTGCCTGTTCTAAGCTGCCATGTTGCTTTTTACACACATATAATTAAGCCCTCAGCACACTGGGTTTAATGATTTAATCATTAGAGCTGCGGTATCTCAACCATCTCTGTACCTGCAGTACCTCACAGCAAGACATTTTTATTAAATGAATGAAAATGTTGTAAAGGCCCTACAAAGGCATTCCAGATATTTGAATCTCTGTAAATCCAAAGATATTCATACTTTAATCACTAATATTGTCCTTGATTGTTCTGTTTTGGAAAGGTGGCTTAAAACACAGTTTCAGCAGAAACAGACTCACAGATACAAAGAACATACTTATGGCTGCCAAGGGAGAGGTGGCGGGGGAAGGATGGATTAGAAGTTTGGGATTAGCAGATGCAAACTATTATATAGAGAATGGATAAACAACAAGGTCCTACTGTACAGCACAAGGAACTATACTCAATATCCTGTAATAAACCGTAATGAAAAAGAATGTATTTATATGTATAACTGAATCACTTTGCTATACAGCAGAAATTAACACATTGTAAATCAACTATACTTGAATAAAATAAATTTTAAAAAATAAAATAAAATACAGTTTCGGTTTAGCAGAATGAGATTCCATTTTCCTGGTACTACTGCCCCTTGTGGCCAAATCATGTCATAAGAGAATAATCAAAGATAATGTAAATAGGTTGGGGCACAGTCCTTAACCAGGCAAATTTGAACAGTAGTTTAATCGCTTTAAGCCTCAGTTTTCTCATCTGTGAAATGGGGATAAATAACTGTGACCTACTTCATCAAGTTGTATAAGCGAGAAAGTATTTGTAAAGCAGAGCACAGTCCACGACACATTATAAATGCTTAACGCACATAGCTAACATTATTAACAATATTTTTATTGGCTAAAGGCAATCCACAGCTTCTTGTATGCTTTGGAAAAGTCTCCAGTGATTACCTTTATTCTTTCATTCAACAAACATTTATTCAGAACCTAGTATACAACTCTTCAGTTATTCAACAAATAATTGGTACATACTAGGTGCTCTAAAGAATAAGACGTTGTTTCAGTCCTCAGGGAGCTTATAAGCAAGAAGGTCGATAAGGAAAGTATGCAAATAACTGTCATACAAGGAAGAAGGCAAAACAGACCATGTGACTGACTTACAAGGCTAACTACATCAGTCCTGCAGCCAGCAGTGCTCACAAGAGACAAGGGCCAAGCATTTTCTTCTTTCTACCACCTGCATCAACACAGTACCCATGTCACCCAAGGAAGGGAGTATGGAGACAGCAGCCACTCCACCTCCCTGCCTCCTGCAAAGATGAGCAGGGGCTCAAACACTCTGACCAATGTATGTCTGGTATTTGTTGGCTTTTGCAGGAAATGGGGTGTATGTAAAGTGAATCTCCTTTTATTTGGGGTGTTAGTCATCAGATTTGGGGGAGTAGAAAATGCTTGACCTATTAAAATAATAAGTATACAGGGACTTCCCTGGCAGTCCAGTGGTTAAGACTCCACACTTCCACTGCAGGGGGCACAGGTTCGATCCCTCCTTGGGGAACTAAGATCCCGCATGCTGCTCGGCGTGGCCCAGAGGGAAAAAAAAAGTAAGTATACAAGTTAATTTCTTCCCAGACTACTTCCAAGCTTCTTTGATTTAACTCGGCACAGGATCCCAGGTCACACCAGGCACACCCGAGAACTTGAAAATAAATGCTTTGCTGGTGGTGATGACTCCCTCATGTTCTCACAGAAGAAAGGCATTAAAGCCCAAGAAAGCCTTTAGGACTCAGTGTTTATTTTTATGGAACTAGATTCAATCAGGGTAGTCATTTAATGAGTTCAGAGAATAACTGAAATGACTTTGGGCTAGAATGTCACTGCCCTCCTATCGTATTAAGAGATGAACATTTTCTGCCTTTTATGGACTGGAGATAAACCCTCTCTCACCAGTTATTACTTTGAGATTACAATCGGCTCCGCAAAAAGCGGTGCTCCAAATAAAGCTACCTAAACTCTTCCTTAACAGCACAATCTCGCCATCCACGAAGCTTTCATGCTTACGACAAGCCCTGAGAGCACTTCTCGAAGCCCCGATTCTGCCCTAGGTTACCTGTGCACCTGGAGCCAAGCCGGGCCCTGAGTGTCTGGAATTCATCCTCCGCATTGCACCTGTACCCCTGGGGACTGAAATGCTGATTCCAGAGCTCCATCACCGGCGGGGCAGAGGATGAAACTTTCCCTCCACAGGTTGTCTGCTCGATGCCCAGTACCCGCTTGACCGGCTTCCTCCTCTGGCTTAGACGGGAAACTGTGGAACCACGTCTGGCAGGTTGCTCTGGAACTCTCCTAGCAGGGCAGCGTTAAGAACGGTGGTTTTTCACATTCCTCACAACCAGCAGAGGGAGTGAAGGTTCACAACAAGTCAACTGGAACAAAATAGAGACTGTCTTTTAAATTCTCGTTCATCAAAATAAAATCCGCTGGCTGTGTCTGGGTGGAGAAGTGTGACCTGTGTGGTATAGGTGCTGGCGGCCTGTTGATGTTTTGCTGGGTGAGGGTCCAAATGTAAAAGTCACAAGGGGAAAGAGATAAAGTCCAAGAGGAGGCAAAGGGGCCCGCGGTGGCGACGAAGAACAAGGGATCGGGGCCGCGGGGAACAGAGCTCGGGTCTCCCTCACGGGACCCCTAGTTTATTGTTTCCAGTCATTCCCCCGAAAGCAGGCTCGGAGATAACCGATAAACTTTCAAGAAGAAGAAAAACAGATTAACCAGCTGTGTTCTGGGTCCACCACCACCACAAATTCTTCCCTCCAGCTAGCTCGCCTCCATCCCCACCACCCATCAGCTCAGCTACTTTCCCGGGAGAGAACGTGCCCTCATCTCAGAGCCAGAGCTGAACCTTTCACGCAGCTTACACCATCACTTCGCTGACCTCCCGATCGGAGGCTCTGTCTTCTCATTCTACACCGGCCCCACTGGCTTCCTGGCCATTCCTCAAAGGAGTCAAGTTTGTTCCCACCTCAGGGTCTTTGCACTTGCTGTTCCCTCTGCCTAGATCATCACTCCGTGAGGTACCTGCAAGGCTCATTCCCTCTTCTGTTTGCCTCACCAATGTTAATTTCCTTGACGACCTTATTTCAGTTGCAACCCATCCCGTTTCCACTGTCCCTCCTGCTTTATTTTTCCCCATCTACATACCTTATTGTATGTCTTACTGTTTGTTTCCTGTCCTCCTAAATGCAGGGATTTCTGTCATTTTGCTCACTGCTGCTGGATAAATGAATATGTGAGTGAATGAATGAATAAAAGAGTGAATGAGTTGGAAATTCAGTTATATATGCAGCATTCCAAGAAAGAAATGCAAGTTTTTTTCTGATGAAAGAGACATTATGTGCACATTGGGATTCTTTCAGCTTTACCTAAAAATGATTTGTTTCAATCACTAGCATCCGGGTTGCTGTATTGATTGAAGTTCTAATTGTTTGGCTCTCAGAACAAGTATATTCATAACTTTACCATATTGTCACAAATATCAGTTCCTCAGTAAGATAATGCTCTAGTCACCTCCTTCTACCATAACGTCTAATTACCTCTCTTGGGGTCTCGCATTTCTTTGTGAAAAGCTAACATAGCTGATATATAACACTCATTCACAGTCTTTGTATGTTTGGTATGTGTGACCAAATGCCTTTTAATATGTTCCATACTGATATTACATGAATATTAGTGAATAGTCTAGTATAAATATCTATGGGACTGCTTAAATAAATGTGTTTAGTTGGTTATGTTTTATGCATATTTAGAATTCGTTTGCATTATCCAAGCTCACATGTATTATTTACCTAGTGGGAATATTCAGCTTTCTGCCACTCTATTTCACCCTATGTACAAATTCACATATGTTTTACAATATGCATAACGTTTCCACTAAATCATCCTGATGTTTGGTATATTTATCATTTTTTATGAGGTGCTTATCTACAGCTAGGCGTTTACTTAATCACTCATTTTTTGTTTGTTTTCTTTTTGCTTTTCCTCACTGTAGACAAGTATCTGTTGGAAAAAAAAAAAAAAAAATTTGTGAGAGTCCCCAGAAAGCGAGCAAGCTCCACAAAGAAACTTTCATAGCAGACTTCCTGAAGAAAAACTTAGTGTCAAAAATAAGTAAAGCATAATTAATTTCTTGAAAGTTTTGTTTCCTTCTCCAGCTCATAAAAAGAAACCTCTCTTGAATAGTGGTCAGAGTGAAATCTAATTGCATGATATTTATTATTTCATTCTCAATTTTAATTGCTGCAATTAAAATTGTTAAGTGTTTAATGGCTTTCCATTTTACATTTTAAAAATCTGGTCATTTATTTGAAAAGGTTAAATCTGAAGAACTAAAATTGAGAATAATTTAGAAGCCAAAGGCGAGGTGGGGGTGGATGAAAAATTTGGTTACTTTTTGCCTGTTCGATCAGCGCCTCATGAGAGTTTAGGAATAATTCTATTTATTGGTCTTTCTTATGTGAAGCTAATATAGGTGACCTAACGCAGGCCCTTATATCCAACTAGTTTGCTGGTTTGTTTGCAGACTATTTGATTATGTTCTTGATTTTTTTCATTAAAACCTTTATAAAGGCTAAGTGGCAATTTCATGTTGGAGAAATAAAGCAGTGAAAATTACTGTCATATATCTATCACCTAAGTGGCGTACTTGGGATGCCGTGCTTCAGTACCACAGCTTAGTATGTCAATGCTGCCAAATAATGTAAAAATCTTTTAATAGATACTTTGGACAGGAATTTCTCTGCTATGTTTAACCTAGAGGAATACATGTGATTGCAATTTAAATCGCAGGAAAAAAATTTTTTTTTTTTCTTGGCTGTGTAGTGCGGCTTGAGGGATCTTAGTTCCCTGACCAGGGATCGAACCTGGGCCCGGCAGTGAAAGCGCCAGGTACTAACCACTGGACCACCAGGGAATTCTCCAGAAAATTTTTATATCTATTTGGAATTCAAAGAAATTTATTTTCATGGATTGATTCTCTGCCTTAGAAGACAGATATTTAGAATGCTTTCAGTTTTATTTAGAAGTTGCCAAAAGAGAGAGGTCTTGTGTACCCTTCACCCAGCTTGTCCCATGGAAAAATCTTAGATAATTATAATACTTTAATAGATTTTAAAAGTGAAGATACTTTTGATAGGCCTGTGCCTTCTGAGGCAGGACAGTTATAATGACACAGAATCAAGCCCACTAATTATCTATGAGAACAAGAAACCAAATGCCATGATTCTTGGGGCAGCCCCAAGAATTCAGCTGCAATGCTCTGTATTTCCATCTGGTTTACTTAAATGAGTCCAGCCTATAATTTGACCTATTAGCAAAAGAGAAAAGCAGAAAGAATAAAGCAGAAAGGAACACACCTCCCCCTCCCCCTTCCCATCCATATTTGTTCCCCTTGCCAAAAACAGTATTCCTGGAGAGATGTTTACAAAACCTGTGATTTCTGAGGCTTATTCAGCTTTGTAAGTTTTGGGGGTCTTGTTCTCACTGTCATTCAGAATGGACACTCCAGGAGGATGAGAACCAAGTCTGTCACAGATCTGTCCATCACCTAACCATTGTTTTGAATTTTATAGTCAAGTATTATGTAGCCATTTCTCTATTAAAGACGGCAGATTAAAAAAGAATCTCCTGTTTTTCTTGACTAGAGTAGAAAGAGTTATTCTATCTGAAAAGATGGATTCTACCTTGTCTGATGAATTGCTGGGGGGAAAAGTAAAGTTGATTCAAAAGTAACCTTGCTGCCCTTTTTTATTTTTTCTCCTTGGTTCTGAGTCCAAGAACCTTTAACCTTTCTAGTCCCTTGGAATGAATTTGGTCTCTTGTCTCATTCTGTACGTAATCCTGTTGGGTAGTTCCCTCCAGGCTTCAGCATCAGACATGATATCAAAACCTTGTGACTAGAGCAATTAAAAACAAGGTAATCTCAAGGAAATATAAATTAAACTACATTCAATATAAATCCACCAGGATGGCTAAAATGAAAAAGGCAGAAAATGCCAAATATTAGTGAGGAAGTAAAACATTTGGAACTCTCTTATATCACTGGTGTGAGTATGAGTACATACAACCACTCTGGAAGCTGGCTTATCTACTAAATCTGTATATTAGCACATCCTATGACCCAGAAAGTCTACTCCCAGCTTTATATCCAACAGGAGTGTGTGTGTGTGTATACTTTCACCAAAAGAGATGTACTAGAATGTTCATAACAGACTGTTCACAATAGCCCTCACCCCTTCCTCCGAAAAGGAAACTGCCTATCAGCAGCAGAGTGAATAGATTGTGTTGTATTCATCAGTGGAACGCGGCACAGCAGCAAGAATGAACAGACACAGTGTATGATAAATGCGGATGAATCTCATAAACAAGATGAAGAATGAAAGGAGCCAGACACAAAATAAGACGTCGCGTATAATTCCATTTACATAAAGTATAGAAACAAGCAATACAGGAGAACAGCTATTCTTGGTGAGGAGGGTTAGTGAGAGGAAGGGGCCACAAGGAGACCTTTCAGGGGCTGGTCATGTTCTGTTTTCTGATCTGGGTACCAGTTACACAGGGGTGCTCAGTTTGTAAAAGTTCATCTTCTTATACCCTTTACTTCTCCAAGAATATCACCCTTGAATAAAAAGTTAAAAAATAAAAATAAAAACAAGGTGTCGTCTCCTGCTGGCTTCCTCTGGTTTCTAGCCCTCCTTCAGACTGGCGCCCAGCCTTCTCCTACTTCCGTTATGCACGGAGCAGGTGCAGCTCAGTGCCTGTTTTTTTCTTCCAAATGCTGTTCCCCTGCTCAACGTGACCATCTGTTGGCCGGAGAAGAGGGCAGGGCCACTGGGAAAGCAACAGGGAAGGGGAGCAGGGACCTTCCCTGCCCAAGTGGGAAGGTCTCCCCCCACCCTCCAAAGAGTTATGCTGACCTGACAAGGAAATAGAAAAGTCCTTCTGCATGTAAGGTTTAAAATATTGTTTATGAGAATCTGTTTCAAAATGAAATTTCCCCCAGTGTAAGTCACTTATCCAGGTTCAAAGGCTAAAAATAATCTTTACTAAAAAAGTCATTTAAAGTCTCCTTAAAATACATCTTTTAACTCTTTAACCATTTCAGCAACACCAGCTCCCTTTTCCTTTGTTTTTCCCTTCTCTCTTTAAAAATTATACTTTTAAAATGATTTTTCTCCATGTCTTTTCAGGCATAACAATTTTAAGAAGTCTCCCATTTTCCTTTAAAGCAGTGACTGCAGATAGAACAATTGAAACTCTTTTACCCTGGTAGGAAGTAGTGGCTTGTAAAGGATTTTCCAGCTTCATTTGCCTGGGAGAAGCCCCTTCCCCTACAATTTTGTAATAGTTCTGTATCTTTTCTCTGTGACCTTGGCAGTAATGGCAACTTTTTAACACACATTCAGCCAATATTTCTTTTCTGAGCGCCTCCTTGGGACCAGGCACCATTGTAAGTACTGAGGACATAGTGGTGACAAAAGAGATAATTAAGCAGAGCTTTTGGGATGAGTGGAAATAAACAGGTAATTGACAAAAGAAATATACTATCAGAATGAAATTGAGATCATGAAGAAATGGAATCAGAATGATACTAAAAAGCTTATGGGGGCAGGGACCAGAGACTCCTTGAAATGGGTGCAGAGGGAAGGCCTCCTTGAGCCTGGAATGCCTGAGCTGAGTCCTAGATGACAAGAAAGAGCAGCAATGAGAAGACTATATTTGAGAGAGCATGAGAAACAGGCTGCAAAGAACATCAACTAGCTGCCTCCTTCAGACCAGCCATTTCCCCCAAATACAGACGCTAGAGCATATTGTCTTGTTGACTACTTTCCAAGGAGAGAATTTTGCAATTTTATGTCCATATCTATATTTATATAGTTCTATATAAATACAAATATATATGTAAATCTGTGAAAATACTTCTGAGAGACCAAGATTTAAAATAAGTTAAATTTAAGGAAAATATGGGCATAAGATATGAGATAATAAAAGAGTTAAAATAACCTTATTTGGTTAAAACTCTATTCCTATATTAAATGAAGAGAAAACTTGTTTCCATTTATAATTTTAGGTACATATATATAAATACATAGACAGTTATAAGCTATCTCAGTTCTATTAACTAAGGAGAGTTCTTGAGGGCTATATCTGGATAAAAATACAAATTCATGAACTGGTAATTTTTATAATTCCCCATCACAAGCAATAACTCAGCAGATCTACATGGGGCATCTGGTAATCAAACTAAACATTCCCAGTTCCAGATGCAAGACATAATTAATTGCTTAACTGCCTTAAAATTTTAGGCCTTAATGTTTATTACAAATAGATGGTGAAAAAAAGGAAAAAAGTTAAAAATTTTTTTTTCATTTTTTCTGAAAAATATCTTTATTTTCACTATCTTTAGCAAATTTGATTTTAGAATCACTTACTTTCTCTAAGTTTTGAGGTGGAGAAAATACAATACTGTAGTATCATGGGGCGGGGGAGAATTTCAATATTGGCCAAGAGAATTTTGAAGCAGTGAACTGGGGTAAGAAAGGAAGTGAGGGGTGAGTGAAGGTCTCAAGTCAAATGGGGCAGAAGAAAGGACCCAAGTAGTTGTGACAAACAGAGGGAGGACAGCTGCTGACCAGCCTGGTGACCTTATTTATTATATGCAGAGGAGAGCTGGCCAATGACTGAAAGGAAGAAAACCATATCCTCCCTTGGGGACAAGGTATAAAGATCAAGGGATCTGTGAAGTCTTGTGTGTCTCACAATGATGATGACGGTGATAATGACCCAGCAGTCCCTAGAGTGTGACACCACAGTGAAGGGGAGGAAAAACATACCCACAAGGAAATGAGGAGAGTTTTGCAGTAGATGGAAAGGCTTCATTTGATTTCAAACACTTTTGACAAGGGACCCACGCCTCTCCCAGATTAGAATTGTCTCCCTTCCTGTCACGTCCCTTGAGTAGAGCAAAATTTAGGGAATGTCCATGGGGTTAAGATTCTTTGTATTAGGGAATGGGGGGGGGGCACCCATGCAGTGGCAGCTTTTCCCTTCCTCCTGTGAAAATGTACCATATCCCTCTCTTAGTAAAAAAACGGAGGAGGATAGAAGTTTTAGACAGAGGTTATTACCATAATGCAAACAGTATTCTGAGTAAAAGGAAAGACGACTCTAGAAGTATGCTGTCTCTTAACAATATAAGGAGTCAGAGGAAACAGATGTTCTGGCTGTTATTCAGTCTTACTCACTCTCTTTCCTCATCACCTTCTCCGTCACTTCTCAGTCATGAATAAGTTATAGCATTGACCACATTTTACTGTGTTTTGAATTCATTTTCATGGATCTATCTATCCATTTGAATAAAAATGCCCTGCTATATATCTCACAAAGAAAAGACCTTCTAAAAATGTAAAACCTTAAGCACAAGATGAAGAAAGGCATAAGGAGAATTTGGGTTTCAGGACTAATGCCATTTTTGTGGATTCTTCCAAAACAAGTTGAAGCATGCACATCACCAGGTAAATTTGGGTTTCATTCTTTTTGACTATCACAAAAAAAATTAATCGTGAAACTGCATAAAAATTATCTTATTTTGGAAGCAATAACGCTCAGAAAGCATGCTAAGTGTGGGTGACAGAAGGCCACCAATGCACTGATGTGTAATGTGAAATGAGGACCCCACAACAAAGTAGAAACTCTATACACTGAAACCCCACCTCACATGTAAAAGCATAAATAACAATTGCTGAAAAATTCTCTTCTCTGCAAGGTTTTTAGGACCCAAGATACTACTGAGATGAAGAGTTAAGAAAAGCTGTCACAGCCAGTGTTAGATTGCACATAACAGCTGCCACTGAGTCTGCCTGTGAAAGGTGTGAAAGCAAAGCTCACACATTGGTTCCCACATCCACAGCCTCC